ATAAGGGAGAGGAAAAAAATATGAGAAAATGTAAAAATGGAAATAAAGTGTTTGTAAATGGGGAGGGGAGGAGGGGGTGAAGGGAGGGCAGGGACAAGGGGAAAAAATGAGAACCAAGAACTGCCATGTGAAGGTACAGGATCCCATTAATGAATGTAACTGTATTGTGGACCTAGATTGTACCAATAAATTCAATTAAAAAAAAAAACTAGAACTCTTGTCCCAAATAAATACACAAAGTAAAATCTTTTTCATTTCCCATGATTTTTTTTAAAGTGTGTAACCTATGAAATTTTCGTGGTATAATACATTTTCTGTTAAGTTGCTGGAACATATTACCTAAAATAGAATTATCTCCCAGAGAAGACATCTTGTTTAATATAATTCCTAATTTTTATAACAAAAATTCACTAATATATATCTATAATTGAATTAGACCAGGTGAATTCAGCATGTCAGAGTAACTTAGCCTTCTGTATGGAATGGCTGTTGTTTTTTCAATAACTAAGACCATGCGGTCAGACAGGAACAGTGACCCTGTGTGTCAGTCTTTCCTACTTTGCAATATTCTAAAACTTACTGCTTGAACTAACTAGAAGAAGAAATACTTTGCTAAAAGTTTGTGTGTTTTTATTCTTCCTTGTATGTTAAGGGACACAAAGGGGCAGTTGACCAATTTGTCAGGTCAAGAACTGAGAGCAGAATAGAACCATCTCTTCTCCCTAACTAGAGTCACTGCTTTCCTCATAGTCACAGGGAGGCAATAGGAGTGGGAAATTAGACTAAGAAAATACTAATGAATGAGACACATGTTTGGACAAGACATTTACTTGGTTTTCCTTCATAGCAAAAGACATTTTCTTAGGAACAAGATACTGTGTTAGTATGTGACAGCAGAAATGTTGATGTAAAATCTGGTCTTCATGCTGTTTATGCCTCCATGAGTAAAACTAGCATGACTGACAGATAATAAGAGTCAAGCACTGTGCTATTTTAGGGCCAGTATAGCAATTAGGTAATCTCTTGAGTCAGTAAACAGTTCAAGAAAACAATACCATACAAGTGGAAAGCTATTTAACATATTGAGAAGGAAATTAATCTGAAATTCTTATCTTTGCCTGTTACTAAATACTGTGTTCTGATTTATAATCTAAATACACAATATATACATAATCCATATTATACAATTATATACATGTATATGTCATCTTCATTGTTACAAAAAAGTCTGTTTTACAGTTTACTAGACACATGTATGTATAATTTCTAATACATGTTCTCTAACATATAAGATGTCTAGTCCTGCTGTTACATGGGTATTGGTGATATCCATGGAGAATATTATTCTTTTGAGTAGAGTGGTTTGAGAATTCATTTTTCAAGTTGTTTGTTCATTTCAAGTTCTTTTTCTATCGCTTCTCGGCCTTTTGGCTAAGATCAAGTTCTTTTTCTAAGACTTTTCCCCATAAGAAAATGGAGCTTTTTGAATCTTCTTTTTCTTTCCTAGTTTGGAATTCAAATTAAAGTAACATTCTCTGTGTTTTAATTGCATACTGCTAGTATGAAAAAATGAAAGAAGCACCCTAACAATCTGAATTTCTTCCATTAATAGTATGTGCAGACATATGTTGCTTAACAATGGGAATACATTCTGAGAAATGTATCGCAGATGGTTTTCTCATCATGAAAACATCTTAGAGTACACTGACACACTAGATGGTTTAGATAAGTCATTGCACGTGTCCTCTTGATGCTATCAAGAGATTAACATGAGATTCATGAGGGTGCTTCTAGAATAATATAGCATACTGTTTTACAACAAACTATTTTTAAATATAATTAGAAGGAATACACTCTAAATATAAATATATAGTAAATACATAAACCAGTAACATAGTTCTTCATTATTAACTGTTAACATATGTTTGTAGAGCCAGCCGCATGATAGTTTATTTACACCAGCATCATGAGATTGTATTGCATTGTACTGTGACATGGCAGTGGCTATGATGTGAATAAGCAAAAGGAATTTTGCATTTCCATTATGAGTTTACATGACCATTGTCCTGTATGTGGTTGATTGTTGACCAAAACATTGTTACATGGTATGTGACTCTGTTTTTTATTCTAATTGTCTACATTGCTTCCTGTCATCTTAAATCCTTTCATTATCTGAAGCCTTGAACCTAGTCTTAGAACCTAGGACCAACCCTGATCCTTACAAACAGGATAGAATGAAGGAGAGAAGAGGAATTTAAATGATTAACATGAGTTCTCTACCTGAATGGTTCAATATCAAGTGAGATCTCACATTGATCTAGCACTGAACCTTCATGGTACCACAATTCTTGTAATTAAATTTATATCTTGATCACTTTCCTCATTCCCAATTTCTCTCACAAGTCTATCACCCAAGGCATTCAAAGCTTATTTCTGCACCTCAGTCTCATTATGAGTTGGTAAACTGGCCTACCTATAGCTAAGTGCTCTTCTGTTTGGATCGCTAGTGTTTTTTGCTTCTAGATCCCCCACTCCCCTGCTTTTGCCCTGATGTGGCTACCCCTCTTTGTTTGCCAGTAATGCAAGCCACTTGTCTTGACTGCCACCTGGCAGGAGATGTGAACAGTGATTAAAATTTACCAATGTAAGGGAGTCTTATTTTCGTTATACTAAAACCTTGATCTGAGAAATAAAAGGTTTTGACAGTAACCCCTGTGATCCTGTGATCATTACATATAGGCTTAGAAAGTCTTAATGGAATTATAAAAATATGCTGCTAATATGATCAAATATCAAGCTTGTATAAATTTGTCATTCATATATTAGCATATATGCTAAACTGGATGTAAACAAATGAAGAGACATGCAGTGATCCTTATAATTAATATGATATAGCAAAGAAGGGGTTTTAAAAGTTTGAGTATTTGTATTTAAGTGGGAAGGATAGAGGAAAGGAAATGGGGGAAAAGAAAAAATGTGAGATAATTAAAAGATGAAAATAAAGTGTTTGTAGATGGGGAGGGGAGGAGAGGGTGAAGGAAGGGCAGGGACAAGGGGAAAAAATGAGAACCGAGACCTGCCATGTAAAGGTACAAGGTCCCAATAATGAATGTAACTGTACTGTATACCTAAAATGAACCAATAAACTCAATGAGACAAAAAAAAGTGATAATAGTTCTTTACTCATAAAAGATGAAAATAAAGTGTTTGTAGATGGGGAGGGGAGGAGAGGGTGAAGGAAGGGCAGGGACAAGGGGAAAAAATGAGAACCGAGACCTGCCATGTAAAGGTACAAGGTCCCAATAATGAATGTAACTGTACTGTATACCTAAAATGAACCAATAAACTCAATGAGACAAAAAAAAGTGATAATAGTTCTTTACTCACAATAAACAATAATTGGATCGTTTAACATTGAGACAGGTTTATATTCTAATGCAGAGGTTTACAAACTTTTCTAAAGGGCTAACAGTAAACATTTTAGTCTGTTGTAGTCTCTGCTCAGTTCTACTGCTAAGGCACGAAAGAAGTTGTTATAGACAAGAAGAAAATAAATGTGACTGTGTTCCAATAAAACTTTTATAAAAGACAAGGAGTAAGAAACTCGAAAAGCTTTTTTTCCCCTTAATTTCCCAACTCTTCTCATACCCCCAAACGGTTACGTTTTGATTTTAGGGCTATATAACTCGATGTAAAAACACAAGGGAAAGGTAGGAGTGAAACACTGCGCTCATTTATTTACTAGTCTCCTGGTAAATGCATCTGCGCTCTGTTACTAAAACTAAGTTACAGAGCTGGTAGGGTTTTATTATAAGGACAAGTAAATGTAAGGCTACAGTAGGAAAAGAGAGCAGGACTACAGGTGTAGTAAGGAACTATTTTCTGTTCTGCAAGCAACTTCGTTCCTATTTATTTACATACAAGGAACTCCCTCGATTACAATTTACCTTGTATGTTCTGAGCCCATCTGGGAAATCATAAACAAAACAAGGAAGGAAAGGACAGAAAAAGAAGAAAGATCCAAGTGTTCAGGGTTTGGTGCTGTGTTCTCCCCAGGGACCCTTCTATTTGTCACTTTCTTCTCTGACCCCTTTTCATGTTCACTTTACATGGCTCCTCCCTCCTCGTTTATTTCGCTGGGTCCCTCTCTCTAGTCTCTTTAAAGCTCTTCACAGCTTCCTTTCTGCTTGTCTTCCCCTTGTGTTATCTACAAAAAATAAGTAAAGAAAGAAACCCATGATGTATATTCTGAAACTTGTGCCGGTTTCTAAGTGACGCTGAGCATGCTCAGTAGCGAGAGCAGGTTTTGCTCCCCAGCAGCTGGCCTGATTCGACCTCTCCCGAAATAGACATCTGCCTCTCTGAACTCCTGTTTAGGGATGTCATTCGCTTTTGCTCTCTCCTCATTTTCAAGGTTCAAAGGGAAGCAGCGAGGAGGATTCCGAGGTCCCACTGCCCTCACAGCCAATGGAGGGCCGGCGAGGGAGGAGCCTGGCTCAGCTAGAGCTTCTGAGGAAATCATCCTCGGTGCTTGCAGTGGAGCCTGAGCCCTGCTGCATGTGTCACAGCACAGCAAGGTAATGAAACAGTAGAGGAGAAACGCTGTGTGCTGTGGGATGCTGTAGCACTTTCTGAAACATCTGCCAAGGGTTCCTGTGGAGCAGGATCTTCTGAAACGATTTCTTCTTGAAGCTGCTTTGGGTAGCTGGGAAAATGATACATATGCTAAACGCAGCCGCTGATAGAGTGAAATGGACCAGATCCGGTGCCGCCAAGAGGGCTGCCTGCCTGGTGGCTGCGGCATATGCTCTGAAAACCCTCTACCCCATCCTTGGCAAGCGCTCGAAGCAATCTGGCCAAGGGAAGAAAAAAGAAGCTTGCCGGGCTGCAGAGAACAGAGGGATACTGCATTGCACCCAGACCGTTTGTAAAAAATCTTCCCCTGGAGTGAATGCAGATTTTTTCAAACAGCTACTAGAACTTCGGAAAATTCTCTTTCCAAAACTTGTGACCACTGAAACAGGGTGGCTCTGCCTCCACTCGGTGGCTCTAATCTCAAGGACCTTTCTGTCTATCTATGTGGCGGGTCTGGATGGGAAAATCGTGAAAAGCATCGTGGAAAAGAAGCCTCGGACATTCATCTTCAAAATAGTCAAGTGGCTTATGATTGCCATTCCTGCTACCTTTGTCAACAGTGCAATAAGGTACCTGGAGTGCAAGTTGGCTTTGGCTTTCAGAACTCGCCTCGTAGACTATGCTTATGAAACCTATTTTACAAATCAGACTTATTACAAGGTGATCAACATGGATGGGAGGCTGGCAAACCCCGACCAGTCTCTTACTGAAGACATTATGATGTTCTCCCAGTCTGTGGCTCATTTGTATTCCAATCTGACCAAACCTATTTTAGATGTAATTCTGACCTCCTATACACTCATCCAGACAGCTACCTCCAGAGGTGCAAGCCCAACTGGGCCTACCCTGTTAGCAGGACTTGTGATATATGCCACTGCTAAAGTGTTGAAAGCCTGCTCTCCCAAATTTGGTAAATTGGTGGCTGAAGAAGCTCATAGAAAAGGCTATTTGCGATACGTACACTCCAGAATTATAGCCAATGTGGAAGAAATTGCCTTTTACAGAGGACACAAGGTAAGATAGAAATTAAGGTGATTAATGAAACATGAGACTGTTTAGCAACTGCAGTGCTAGATACCATCTGTTGTGTTGTTAATGGCCCCACTTGCTTAGTGTTTTGCATTCTTCTGATATCATCGAACCTTGTATTAAAATATGTACCTCACTGTCCTTTTAAATCACAAGTTGTTGAAGAATTATAAGTGCAGACTTTACTCAGGTTTTGTCAGAATAAAATTTCAACACCCCAAGAAACAATCTACATAGACTGTTACTCAAATACAATCAAAATTATCTGAAAGTATTTTCTTAAAATTTAAATCCTAACTTGGTAGCTGGTCCTAAAACATGTGAAGGAAATATATATTTGGAAACTAAGAATAAACACAGTGAATTGCTATTGAGATAGAAAATTTAGGAGAATATTTGTTGTTGTTGTTGTTGTTTCTTTGCTACCACAGAGGAAAACTCCATGCTTTCAGACAGCTTTGACAACCTTGCATGTCTGATGAGTAATGGCCAGTTTTAAGAAGCATAGGAGGGTGTCTCATAAAGTGACATTTCCATTACTCTTAATTCATTTTCAGCATGAATATTTTGACAAAGAGGTAGAATTAAATTTTGTTTAGCTTCAAGGAAAAAAAACCTGAAATAAGTGAATAAATGAATGGGGAAAAATTAAATTGTATTCAAAATAACCCAATTACATAAACTTATAGTGCATAAAAGCAAATGTTGGAGGTAATGCATGTGAAATGACTTGGCAGATGAAATATTAATATATTCTAAAGTTGAAGATATTTTAATGAGCAAGCAGAATTATTTACTTTATAAAGTATCAGCAATTACTAGAGTTTTATAACACCAGAACCTACTGAACAAATTTAGAACTTCTACTCCCACTTGAAAATTGGCCTCAGTGTTGTATTCATTATTTTGTTTTGTCATTGTTTTAGAATATTTGAACACAGCAAAGTAAATTATGGTGTGTTTACTTTTAGATATTTCTGGTGTGATCAAGAATAATGTGGATCTAACATTCTTTATACATATCTTATAAAATATCATTTAATGTTAAGGTTTTATAATTTTGAAATCTTAATTATAAATTATATATATGCATGCTAAGTAAGTGTTGTACCACTGAGTTATATCCCCAGCCCATTTTCATATATATTTATGCTTAGTTTTTTCAAATAAAGCATATATAACCAAAACTAATAGTGATTATAATATTAATCTGCCTTTATCAGTTAATACTTGTAAATAATACTATATTAAGTAAACAAAGTAATACAATACATCCATATAATTATATAAAGTCTTCAAGCACATGTGGTATTTTCATAGTTCATGCTGGGTTAATTCTAATCTATTTCCTTCTGTAGATAGAAATGAAGCAACTCCAGAAAAGTTACAAAGCTTTAGCGGAGCAAATGAACCTTATTTTATCCAAACGCTTGTGGTACATCATGATAGAGCAGTTCTTGATGAAGTATGTTTGGAGCGGCTGTGGACTAATTATGGTGGCTATACCTATTATCACTGCAACTGGCTTTGCAGATGGTGGTAATGACATTTATGCTTCATATTAAATACATAGTTAACATTGCTTGTCCAGGTATCGATAATTTTGTGTGGATGAAACTGTATATATAAAACCAGTATTCTCAGTTTTTAGTGATAAGAAAAAATGACAGGCTTTGCAATGTTCAGTAAGGAGACCAGGAATATGAAAGAAGGGAAACAGGTGACTCAGAGGACCTTTCCAATTCTGAAATATTTTAGAACTCTCTGACAGTGTTTCTGGGAATCTGCTTTGAACAGTTTTAACTATACTGCCTAATACAGAATGGTTCTCTAGCTTATGGGTATTCTCAAAACAGTACCTTCAGAAAAAGTATAAAGTTGCTGAGGATTTAGCTCAGTGGTACCAAACCTACTTCACAAGTGTAAGGTCCTGAGTTCAATCTCTGGTACTGGGGGGAAAAAGTTAGAAAAAGTATAAAATATAACCAAGAAAAACATGTTTCATTCTTCATGTCCCGTGAATTTAGTCTATAACTGAATCTGCCCTGATTGTGATTAGATTGGTTCACATTGAAGAATTCAATTTACCACAGATTAAAAATATTTGGAAAAAAAATGTGTCTTTAACAGACATGTACTTTTTCCTTGTCGTTATTCCCTGCAGAACATAGTAGAACAACCACTTACATCGCCTTTTTATTAGGTGTTACAAGTAACCTAGAGATGATTTAAAGTATGTAAGAAGATGTAAGTTGTGTGCAGCTACAACCCCATTTTATATAAGGCACTTGAGCGTCTGTAGGTTTAGAATCTCCAGAGATTCCCCCTTCCCCTGTGGGTACCAAAGGATGACTAATTGAAGTAGCAGTATTTTCTACTCTTGGCCCCAAATAAAACATCCTCTTCCCTCTGTAAAAGCCACTTGAGCAAAATTTGGCTTAGTGTTGAAGGAGCCAGACAAAAGCCCAAGCTTCACAGCAACAAAGAGATCTGTTCAAATCTTGGCTCCCGCTCTTCCTGCTTAGGTCCTCTTAGTCATATTAATGATGCTATGCAATCCTCAGTTTCCTTGTCTATCAAATGAGAATCAGAAAGGCTCCCACAGTGGATTATTGTTTGAATTTAGTAGAATGGTGTTTACAGAGTACAAAGCATGTTGTACTTGCTGTATGGTAATAATTATTACTTAAAAAAACCAAAACCAAGAATAATGTAACAGAATGCACACTGTTTCTATAGTTTTTGTTGGTGTACAACTCATGATTAATATTTATTTTGTTTAGGGTGAGCTAATAAAAACAAGTTAAAAATGTAGTGTTTTTCAATATTTTGAAACAGCGATTCAGTGCTTTGGCATTGCCAAATTTGAGTCATTCTTAATCTAAAAATGTTTATTTTAGTAAATTATGATCTGTCAGTTCTTCATGGTAAGTGCTATACACATACCAAATAACACTCTGTAGCTAAACTGTTTAATAAGCATATTTAGGCCACTGGGAAAATTGAATTGTATCTGTTTGCATGTTTCTAAAACTTATCAAAAAAGTACCACAAGAAGTTTATATTGAAAAGGTATTGTTGGTATAGTATTTTAGACATAATCCCTTTGTAGTGAAATAAATCCCTTTTCAAAAGAGTACTAGAGAAAAAATGTATAGTTTTAAGATTAGTTTTACTAAGAAATTTGACAAAATATTCATTAAAAAATTATCCATCAAAACAGTAATCATTGAGCCAGACATAGTGGCACACAACTGTAATCCCAGCACTCCAGGAAACTGAGGCAGGAGGCAAGTCTGAGGCCAGCCTGGGAAATTTAGCTCATCAGCAAGATTCTGTCACAAAATAGAAAATTAAATAAGGTCTGGGGCTACATCTCAGTAGGAGGGCCCTGAGTTCCGTCCCCAGTAGTGAAAAAACAAAAGAGTCATTAAAAAGTTTATGTATAATGTAAATTAGAGACAAACCCATAATGGTGTGGTTCTGTTTGCAGAGTTTGGTTGTGTTAGAAAACCCTGGAGTATTCAATACAGAACAAAAATGTAGCTATTAATGGTGACAAATTAGCCCCACAGAGAATAGTCAAAGTAAACAGTGTATAGGAAGAATCTATCAGGCTTACTTAACAAGATGTAATAAGATACTTAAAAATAAATCCTAAAAAAAACTTATTAAGAGAACATTATATTAGATTGAAATTTTAATAATACATTGCTGCAAGTGAAACAAAGTTTATCTGAAAGCTTTTTCAAAAAAAATTTTATACAGAGAAGAGGAACGTAGAAATTTTATAGAAGAAAAATATGAAATCATGACAGCATTGACAGTACTTCAAAATCTTCTCTAGGATCTAAGGTTATTCCATATGTTTTTGTTTGTAAATGTATGCATATATTTACTAAATATACTTGGCCTATAATGCATAACATATGAAAACATTATTTCACTCAGGTAAAACACATTTTTAAAGAAAATGATATATCTTTGAGGCTTTATGTCTTGGAATTACATGCCAATTTTCTGATCTATCTTCAATCTTAATTAACACTTAACCCCTGAGATTTCTCATATGTTAGGAAAGAATAAGTTCATAATACTTATATTTTAAGACAAAAAGAGGTAGAACATAAATGAATGAGAGAGTAGCAGAGGCAAAAGTAAGAAAAACAGGATGAGGAGGAAAAAGACAAAAAGAAGAAAACTGCTGTTCAAATTTTGGTTTGCTATTTAATAGTTGTTCACCCTTGGAAAAATTACATAAACTTTTTAAGTCTTTCTTTTTGTATATTATTAATAGGAGTAATGTATCAGTAATATTTATTATAAAATTATATATAATGTCCTTAATGTGCTTCGAAACAGTCCTTGACAAGTTGTAAAAATGTAGGTGGAAGCAATTGTTAATATTTATTATTTTCTTACCCTGTGGGCTCTGGAATCAGATTCTCTGGGGTTCAAATGGTAGATATTGGGTTGGGGATTTAACTCAGTGGTTCTGCTATCTAACTCAAAAGCACAAGGTCCTGAGTTTGATCCCTGGTACCAAAAAACAAAAACCAAAATCAAATGGTGGATATTTTGCTTACCAGGCTATGACACAGGGCAAATCATTTTATTTTGCTTTTCTGATTTTCTTACTGATGCTTGTTGGTAAAACAGAATAGTGATGTTAAACAGAATAACGATGAGTAAATTAATACATTCACATAACATAGCTTCGTAGTTTTCAATCCTTTTGCTTCCCTCTTCTTTTCCTCCCTCCTCCTTTCAATCCCCTCCCCCATCTCCAAAGTCTACTTTCTAGTTTACTGTCATCTCTCCTTTATTTTTCCATTTACGTGTTTGCTCATTTGTGTGTGTTCAGATTTCTTATATAAAGAATATATGTAATATTTGACTTTATAATTCTGGTTTATTTCCCTCATTACAGTCTCCAGTTCCATCCCTTTTTCTGCGTGTGACATGATTTCATTCTTCTGTATGACTGATTCATGTTCCATCATGTGTATATACCATATTTTCTTTACCCACTCACCTGGTCAAAGGCATCCATAGCTTAGCTATTGTGAATTATGCCACAATATATATGGGAACATAGAGCTATAGTATATTGTCTTTAATTCTTTTGGGGACATGCCCTGGAGTGGAACAGCTTTAGCAAGTGGCATTGTCTACTTTTAGCTTTTTTGAGTAATCTCTGTACTGATTTTCAGAGTCCTTACACTACTTTACATCTTAACCACCAATTTAGAAGGAGGGTTCCTTTAGGAGGATTCTGCACCTCACCAGAATTGCTTGTTTATTGTATACTTCCTTTAGGCATTCTGGCAAAAGTGAGATGAAATTTCAAAGCAATTTTGATTTGCATTTCCCCGATGGCTAAAGATGTCGAGCATTATTTCATTTACTCCTTGGCCATTTGTACCTCTTCTTTTGAGGAGTGTCTGTTCAGTTCAATTTCCCATTTTTTCTATTCAGTTCAGCCCCCCATTGTTGGGATTTAGGCCATCTGTTTTTTTTAATAGTTCTTTATATATTGTAGATAGAAATCCTCTGTTAGAGGAGTAGCTAACAAAGATTTTTCTCCTCTTCTGTAGACTGTCTCTTCACTCTGTTTATTGTTGCCTTTGCTATTCAGAAGCATTTTAATTTGATATGATCCTGTTGACTTTGGTATTATTTGCCGTGGTATTAGAGTCCTATTTGGGAAGTTTCTGCCTGTACTTAAGAGTTCAAGTGTTTCCCCTATGTTTTCTCCTAGCTCACTCAAACTTTTTGATCTTTATGTCTAGGATGTGGTTCACTTTCATTTGATTTTAGTGCATCATGAGAGGTAGGGATCTAGTTTCAGTCTTCTGTGTGTGGGTGTCCCCCTTTTCCAGCACCACCTGTCTTTTATATAGCATATGTTTTGGGCCCCTTTGTGAAAAATCAGATGGTTGGAATGTAAATGTCTGACTTTGTTTTGTGTCTTTTGCTCTATTTCAGTGGTCTGCATGCCTGTTTCTGTGACACTATATGGTGTTTCTGTTGTTATGGCTTTGAAGTATAATCTGAAATTCAGTATTGTGATGCCTCAGACTCAGCTCTTTTTGCTCCCGATAGCTTTTGCTATTCTGGGTCTCTTCTGATTTTTAGAATTATTTTTTTCTAGTTATGTGAAAAACATTGTTGATTTTAATAGGGATTGTACTGAATCTGTTGAGTGTTGTTGGTAATATGATCGTTTTTACATTAGTTCTTCTAAACCATGAATAAGGAGTCTTTTCATCTTCTAATGCCATATTCAAGTTCTTTCTTCCATATTCTGTAATTTCCATTCTAGAGGTCTTTCATCTCCTAGGTTAGGTTGATGCAAATGTTTTTCTGAATGTTTTTACTTTTTTGTCCATGATACAATTTATTATTTTAATTATTTTCCTGATTTCTTTCTCAGTGGGTTAATTATTGGTGTACAGAAACACTATTGATTTTTGTTTGTTGATTTACTATTCAGGCACTTCGCTGGGTTTTTAAAAAATATATTTTCTTAGTACATT